TATATAATATGATATACGATGTACACCGTGCATGTTTTATATACAAAATACAGGTATCTATTTGAAAAATAACGACTCGTTACTCGTTACATTTCTAAATAAGTGACCTTTTGGGTAACGATACAACCATTTTTAGCAAGTAATGGCCGAAGTAATGTCATTACTTTTCTTTTATTAACGTACCCAACACTGGAGATAACTATGGATATCATATGTCTCCACACTTTTTGTTGTTGTTTCATATTTGTGAAGAGAGGTCTCTTTTTTTTTTCTAGTAAAAGAAGCCATTCAATTTGATGAAACGCAAGAGTTTTTAGTTTAAATCGTCTTAAATACTGAATACTTCGATGGGATTCTATTCCTAACGGGCCCGGCATGGCCAGGTGGTTAGGGCGCTCGACTCGTAATCTGAGGGTCGCGGGTTCGAATCCCCAAACATGCCAACCTCCGCCTTTGCTTGGTCCCAAGTCCAGGATGAGAAAGGAAGAGGGTTGGGCGCGGTGCTAGCAACTCCACCCCGTAAAAACCATTCCTGCTACAAGTAACTACAACAACACCTTCCGTTGGGAGGTATTGTTGCGGCCCTATGCTCCACTGGGAGTTTACAGGAATAAAAAAAAATTTTCTAACATTAACATTTAATTTAAAGAGTTAGTTCCAGAATGGACTTAATGGTTTCAAGAACACGTGTTTTAATCTTGTTATCATATGATTGAAACATGGTTGGATCATACGATTTGCCTGCTTTCCCCTCAAGTACTTTTTAAACCAGATATTGGCTTGTGCTCTCCTTCAATAGTCATGTTTATAGCTTTGTTCTTTACAGAGATGTTTCAATTTTTGTAATAATAACTTACCTAGGTTCGATTCCCCGCGGTGGACACAGCAGATACCCCAATGTGACTTTGTTCTAAAACAAATAAACAGTAATAAGTGGGATACCTTTTACTTTTCATATAATTAAATTTTCGCTCTTACTTTTGATTAACTTACTGGTTTCCAATAAATACAAAAATAAACAAATACAGATATTTTGAACATGTTTAATCAAATGGTTATACAAAGATTTGGAATTATTTGTGTGGAAAACATTGAGGGAGAGGACACACTGTCACTGAGGCCAATACCAAAAGACAAATAACAGTCACAAGAAGAGATGAAGAATTATTAGTGAATGTATTTATCTGTAAAAATTTGTTAAAACTTAGTAAACAATGCTCAAGATACATATTTTTACAACAATGGCCGCTTTATAGGTGTCGCCATAACAAAGATTTGGGGGTTACTAAAATATAGAATAACTGTCAGAATTTAAAATAATATATATATAACTTTCCTTTTTGCCAATTGTCAAATAGAAAGGCTTTTACTTATACTTTTAATAGTATAAATATATACTATGTCGTTGTTGGGCTTAGGATTCTTGTACAGTAGGTATCTATGACTTGTTAGCGATAAATTCAAAGATGCATAAACAACACGCACTTCACATGTTTTTAAAATATGTTGCGTCATCGAGATCACGTGACAATTCTCACGCTCTCTTATTTCTAGAACTATCCCGTATCTTGGCGAATGGTCTAGTATTTACTAGTAGGGTAGGCTGGTATATATAAGAGGGGAAAACGTGACGCCGTAAGGTAATGTGTGAGTAGATAGTGAGTAATTGAACTGCAGTCAGAGAGCACGAGAGACGTTACAGCGTTTGTTTAGCGCGATTGTTGAAGTTGAATGTGTTGGTAAAGTTATATTCGGAAATAATAAACCAGTTTTATTAAGAAATAACTTGTGTCGCTTAAGTTTCGTCGGAACGAAGTTACGGAAAGTTAATTAACAAACGGAGACGTAACAATATATATATATTCAGAACAAGTTAAAGTATATACAATAAGTTCTTCAACACAAATAGGTATTGTAAGCATATCATAAATATTATATATATAGTTCTCTCATTCTTGT